GTTGTTGAGGCTGTTTGCCTTCCCTGTTCTTCAGATCCGCGTTGTAGCGGACTCCGTCTGTGGACTCCATCGCCTTAGCGAATTGCCGCGCAAGGCGTTGACGTCGCCTTTGGCGGGCTCTCTTTGAGAGAGTCGCAATGCCCTCAACAGTAGAGGCGTCGGCAAGAACAGGTTTGACCTCGTTGGAGGTCGGTGGAACTTTACCCGACGCAACTTTGGCGTCAGCTGGGGTGAGAGCTTCGTTGGCGTTCTGAACTTCTTCAAACCAACGAACTTTTCTCCTGGAGGAGAACTTCTTGGACTTGCGGGGGGAGGTAGATCCAGACGAGGATGACAGATACTCCTCAAACTTGGCCTGATCGAATTCATATTCGACCTCCTCCTCGACCGGGATTGAGATCCGCGGCTGCGACGCGACGATCTCGGCAGCGAGATCATTGGCTCCCACTGTGGTCGCCAGATTGTTCGCGGGGAAAATCGTGTTCTTCATTGACGTCACTGTTCTCTCAAGTAATTGCTTTTTGATTACAAAAGATCCGGTCTTTTTATAAGATCCGGTTACAACGAAATCAAAGAAAAAATAAAAAGATTATAACTTTCCTTTTTCGAACAAATCACGAGCTCCTGTTTTGCGGTCGCTCACTTTTGTGGGTTCTTTGCCAACGCTGGGGTTAATCCGTGGACCACCGCGCGATCTAGATCCGGTCGGATCTACACGATTTGACGGGTGTTATCTCACTAAGGAAATAACAGCCGGGGGGTACTATTTCACCAAGGAAATAATAGCCTTTAGTTCTCGGGATCAAAGGCCAAGCTTTGATCCGGAGTATTACTTCGTGTAGATCTCAGATCTGATTTCTCTCTCTCGAACCCCTGCCTTTTGTGACGTGGATGCTCGCCAAGAACCAGATCTGAATGTCCAAGTCTTCAAGTCTTCAAAACTCCAAGCTCAGTTCTCAATTCGGCAGAGTTTCGGCTCCAAAAGTTCCAACCTCCAAAAAATGAGCTCAAGCCCTCTATTTATAGGCTCTCAGATCTGTGCCTTGGCACAGATCTAGGCCGGCCTGAGTTCAAGTCCGAAACTGATCTTGATTCGATCGTGATTCGTCCGAGTCCGCCCTTGGATGGATGACTCGTTGACTCTTCAACCCTTGGCTTGATTCCACACGCGAATGGATGTATTCCGTTGCTTGCGTGCGATTTGTTAACCTCGTCGCCTTATTAATCCGCTTCGTTGCGTGTCACTTGGCTTCGGCGTTATGGACTGACAGTCGTGTTTGGATACGTCGTCCGATGGTTCATCGGTTTGTGCCGAGTTGTGCTAAGGGACCTATAAGTAATTTTATACGCCTACAGTGGGCTTGTTGATGAATTGGTGAATTATTTGTTTATGATAATTTATAATTTTTATTATCTGCGTGGGTTTGATGAATAATATTGAATGGATAGAAATTATGTGATAAATAGTATTTTCAGAAGAAATATAATAAATTAAAAATTTTATTTTGGGTAACAGAATTATTTTAGATTAATTATAATATTTTTAGAATTTTTATCATGGAAGGAAATTATTTTAGAATGATAAATATTTTTAAAGAAGTTATTTTGGTAAAAGATTATTTTGTGTTATGATTAGATGATTGATAGTTGTAGAACACGACATTTCATGTACATTGACACCGATTTGTTAACACTCTTATTTACACTCACTCATGTCATATATGCACGCCTGATTTCATCGCTAGCTATATAGTCATGTTCATCATGTGATTTGCATAAGATTAGTTGTATTTATTTATTATTTCTTGTTTTGTTGAGAACCGTTAGTAGTTCATGTCCTTAGTTGCCCAGCGTGTCGTGTATAAGACCTAGATACCTGTGTATTGTTGACTTAGAAAAGCAAGATGAGTTGGGATGGGGAAGTCCATGTTCATGTTATCGGATATATTGTTGTTTATTTCCAGGCTCGCACCAGTGAATCGTTTCGCACTGGGGTGGGTCTGAGGAGCAGTGATCAGATATGTTTATTGTTTATTTCCAGGCTCGCACCAGTGAATCGTTTCGCACTGGGGTGGGTCTGAGGAGTAGTGATCGGATGTGTATTGTTTATTTCCAGGCTCGCACCAGTGAATCATTTCGCACTAGGGTGGGTCTGAGGAGCAGTGATATTGTGATTATTGATTATTTTTAGGCACGCACCAGTGAATCGTTTCGCACTGGGGCGGGTCTAAGGTACTAGTGAGATGTGGTTGTTAACCAGATATCCGATAATATGAACTTTGACTCTGTGTGAGATGTAAACCAGTGACCTGTTATAGGATGGCTAGTTACATGATTCGTTTCTTGGCTAAGTATGAGTTCTTGTGAGATATAGGCTAGTTGTGTTTCTTTTTATACATAGATTGGGATTAATATTTAATTATTTATAATTCGAGACATATGGTATAACATGAGGGTTTCCTTGTTTGGATTATTTCGCTCGACGTACTACGTCTCGAGTTATAGATTTTTAAGTATTAATTCCATCTATTGTATAACCTTATTGCTTGGATGATTGTTCTGATCGCTAGCTGCATGTTTTTGTTACCTGAATGATTTACGGATTCTTATGATTATCATGTGGATTGCATGTTGATTTTGTTAGATTACCAGTTGCACGTTCTTTTGTTATTTCGGTTTTCGTATTGTTTTTCGCTTGTGTTTTTTATCATTCTATTTCTTTTGTGCGGTCTTGCCGTGTGCCACGCTGACGTACACATGTTTTCTCTGGTGTACGTCGGACTTAGAGGAAGAACAGGTCCAGCTAGGAGATCGCCAAGAGCCATAGGATTCTCAACATGAGTGCCTTGCAGACGTAGCAGAAGAAGAAGCCAAAGTTTAGTTATTCCCTCTTGTTGTTCGATGATCTTAGTTTACTTTTGTAGCATTTCTTTTCTGCTTGGTCATTGTATTTTGTATCTCCTCTGCATTCATTTGTTCAGTTTCGTATAAGGGCATGTGGACTCGTATATTATGTCTCGGATGTTATTCCATTTGTGATATGATATTTTTATTCTGAGTTTGTCCATTATATTCTTGCTGATTGTGATCGGGGACCTGTGACTTCACATTGTATTTATTTCCAGACGCTTAGCGTATTGGATTGAAAAGAAAAGAAAAGAAAGAAAAAAAATGATAGTGTATATTTCTTCTTAATCTAATACGTCACGAGCTTGTTCACGTCCCGATTCCCGAGTATTTTGGAAAACGGGGCGTGACAGGTTTTAGTGGTAGCCCATGCAGGTCACGGTCCCTAGTCCTCATTAGTAAGAATATAGTAGACAATTTAGATACATATCATATTTCATCCGTGAGACTATTCTTGAACCCTTATCCTATCTTCTTGATAGATTTCATTTCGTCCCTATCTTATCACTTTTGACTCCGGAACATTCCACTATTTCTTGTCTCGTAACTTTCCATTGTTTATTGTTTCTTGTCTCATCTACTTATGGATATCATTCTATATCTGTCCCTGGGGTTCTTATTTTAATTCCGATGACGGAATTTGTTTTAAGGGGGGTAGAATGTAAGGACCATGAAATTTTGATACTAGTTAAAATAATTTTCTGGTATTTTAGAATATTTAATTATTATTTTTAAAAGAGTATTTGTATTTTTCTTAATTTCCTATAATTTTCTACAATTTAAAAACCAAAATTATATTTATTTAAATGGTTTTAATATTTATAAATTTATTTTGTGCAGTAAAATTTTCTAGAATTAATTTGTTATGTTATCAGTACTATTACGTATTATTTTAAATATATGTTGTATTATTAATATTATTACGTATTATTTCGCATAATACTTTGTATTATTAATTATGTATTATTTGTATAATTTGTTGTATTATTTCTACTGTTACATATTATCTGTCGTATTAGCACAACTAGTACGTTTTGATTTGTATATAATTGTCCCATAATTATTTGATTTTAAATGTAAGTAAATATATTTTATTTATTAATTATTTTCGTTTAATTGTACAATATGGGAATATTTTGACTATTTCGTATCAATTGTTGTAATAGCACAACATGTACGTTTTTAATTATAGATAATTATTCTGTAATTAGATTAATTTTTAAATACATATAATTATTTTATTTTAATTATTTAACCCAAACCCTAACCCTAATATATATATATATATATATATATATATATATATATATATATATATATTTTTGTTGTTAAATGATTAGATGATTGATAGTTGTAGAACAACGACATTCATGTACATTGACACCGATTTGTTAACACTCTTATTTACACTCACTCATGTCGTGGGCTTGTTGATGAATTGGTGAATTATCTGTTTATGATAATTTATAATTTTTATTATCTGCGTGGGTTTGATGAATAATATTGAATGGATAGAAATTATGTGATAAATAGTATTTTTAGAACCAATATAATAAATTAAAGAATTTATTTTGGGTAACAAAATTATTTTAGGTTAATTATAATATTTTTAGAATTTTTATCATGGAAGGAAATTATTTTAGAATGATAAATATTTTTAAAGAAGTTATTTTGGTAAAAGATTATTTTGTGTTATGATTGGGTGATTGATAGGGGTGCCAAACGGTTCGGATATATCCGAACCGATCCGCATCCGTATCCGAACGGATACGGATATGGTAGGCTAATTTTGAAACCGGGCGGATACGGATACGGATACGGATATGGTTTTGGATTTTTTTCGGATACGGATTCGGTAACGGATATGAGGGTTGCGGATACGGATATCCGCAATGTAATAGTGATTCGGGTAATTGGGTCACAAATTTATAGTTACAAACCCGCTAACCCAAAACCAAAACTTAAAAAGAAAAAACCCTAGGCCCTCACCCTCACTCCCTCAGCCGCCTCCACTCTCCAGCCCTAGGCCGCCTCTCTCTCTCTCTCTCTCTCTCGTCTTCAGCC